TGGGAACAGTACTAGCCCTCACCTCATAGAATTGATATGAAGAATAAATGAGTTCTAGGATATAAAGCACTTAGAACCCACTGCATAATGTAGTTAATACATGCTAGTTGTGTTATTGCATTACTGGCATTGCAATTTCTAGCAAAGCCCTGCTTTGGCAAGAGACCTAGGACTAATGACAAACAAAAAGTGGTTAAAGGAATTGGAAATATTTAAGTTGCAAGGAGAAAATTACAGGGAGACAGGATCATAGTCCTTAAGTATTCAAAAAGTCCTTAGAAAAAAAGACAGCTCAGATTCTCTCAGCTCTTTCCTAGAAGGCAAAATTAGGACCTATAAGAAAAAATATAAGATATGAAATTTAAGCTCACATAAGAGAGATTTTTTTAATGAATAAACTCCCTAAATGTGGGGATGTTCCTCCTTTTTGCCTTTCCCTCTTGGACAGAGAAGGGTGATTATAGCAGATATGCTCATGGGGCAGTGAAGCATCAGAGAGGGACCCTCTGGCCTTTAGGCCAAGCTTCTCAGATAGAAACTTGTCCAGTAGTCACTGGGAGGGATGATATCTCTGTCCAGCAGCTCTACATCATTGGGTCTGGCCTCCAGAATGATTCGGTTTCTCCCAGGGTCCAAATTACTATGTCAGATCAGCTCAATGAAAGTAATTGCATATGTTCCTAATGCCACAATTAAAGAAACTCATTGGCAAGCAGTGTTCAGCAAAAATCCATTTTTAGAGTTTTCCTATTTTTATTATCCACTCTCCCATAGAAATAGTCTATGCATGCAATAAATCTGAAACCAATATTTGGAGAGTTTCCGAGGAGCTAGAGGATGTAAAAGAAGTGGAAATGAATTGTAGGCAGGCACAACAGTGAGGCTGAAGGCAGGGATTTGTAAATCCTCTTTACAAGCAGTCCATGGGCGTGGGTGCCCGGAATTGTGTTGGAAGACTAAGGGGAGGAATCTTGAGATGGATTGCTCCCTTCCTCTTTACTTTTCTGTATCTTCTGTCCTGAAATCCTCTTTTTTGTTCACTTAGAGATCTATTCTGGATACCTGATGCCCTTGAAGGTGCAAGAATTATAAATGGGAGATCAGCAGGGAAATGAAAGAAAATAGAACCACTGTGTAGAGTGAAGTTGGAAGAGGAAGACTGGAGGAACATAGATAATAGCACAAACCAAGGCGATGAAGGAGAAGAGTGAGGAGATGTTAGACTGGTCAAGACAAATGTTAAAGAACCACATCTCTGGTGAACTAACCAAAAAGGTTCCCTAGAACAAAAATTCAAAAAAAGATTCTATATCTGGATATTTATTAGTTGACCAAGGGTCCAGAAGGTCAATTTTCAAAATAAAACCAAGACAGAAATTTGACCATCCCTGATGATAAAGCTAAATGATTTAACGTAAGGCTCAAAGCAAGAATTTTTCTTAAATAATTCAACAAAAGCAAAAAGATCTTCATGGCAGATTATTCAGGCCAGTAAATTTATCTGATTATGTGGGAGTGCTGAGCTGAAAATCAGAGGCCATCCAATGGACTATCATGTAGCTATCAATTATTATAACCAGCAAGACTGTCCAACAATATGGAAACATTTTTACAATGTTCTAAATCAAAGTTGGATAAATTCTTTCTGTAAAAGGCCAGATGGTTAATATGTTTGACTTTTCAGGCCATATGGTCCCTGCTGAAACTTCTCATCTCTACTCAGTAGTGTAAAAGTAGCCATAGATAGTATGTAAATAGAAAGACATGGTTGCATTCTAATAAAACTTTATTTACAAAAATAGGTAGCAGGCCAAATTTAGCTGTTCTAAATGACTAAAACAAAACACTTAATTGTATATTCAATGTAATTTTAGCTATATAAATTATGAATGCAAATGGTCTAGATGGAAATGTTCAAAGCAAAAATGGATAATTGAGTTAGGATGGTAAAATTAGGATGGGCTTACCTTCTCATTTAAGGATAAAGTCAGAACTTTCTGGTCACCTGTGCACTCAGGACTAATAGAGACTCTCCAAGGACTCTAAGAGCATAGAGAGGGTCAAGTGTTCATATCCCAAACATGGTACAGTCCTTGAGCATTCTCAATGAATACTCGATGAGTGAACACCCAGGAAGGCTGGAATTCTCAGTGCTTTGTTGGATTTGGCTAGAAACTTGACCTGGGAACCAGTTCTTGTTTGTAGGTAGAGCAAATCCAGTGTCAGCTGGAGTCTGGGGCTGAGGCTTTGTCCCTTTTAACTGAGGAGGTGCCCTGAGCTGGAGGTTGATGTTCTAGAGACTGAGTAGTGAGAATCATAGCAGTTCCAGTGCCCAGGACTAATGAGTTGACTTGGATGGTGTCTGGAGGTCATGGACTTCAGTAGGAAATCCAAGGAGATGCTGGGGTAATCTGGTTGGGGTGATGACTTTGGGATCAGATATACCTGGACTTGACTCCCAGCTCCCAGCGATGTGTCTTTTGACAAATCCTTTCACTTCTTTGAGCTGCAGTCTCCATGTTTGTATAATGGAAATAATAATTCTCATCCCACAGTTATCATGAGCATTAAATGAGATTATGTATATAAAACTCTAAGCATGGAGATTTGCTCAGAGGCAACTCTCAGTAATAGTGGTTTCTAGTTAAACAGGAGCAGGGGTCAGAGGGATCCATGCTCAAGAACCAGAAAAGGTCAGCCTAGATGACTTTCTTACAGTATCCTTGCTTACACTTAAGGGTCAGGATTGACTTGAATGTAAGTTTTAGAAATACAATAGGGTTATGTAAGAATTCTTTTTTTTTTTTTTCTTTTTTGGAGAGGTTTTTGCTATAGGGCGCTTGCGCTCACCAGACAGACAGAGAGATACAGAGAAACAGAAAGCAAGAAGTCACGCCCCAGGGGGGATGGCCACGCCACAATTCCTTCTCCTCCGTTCTCCTCTCGGGATCTTGGGCACACACGCACACGCACCCAGCGTGTTTTAAGCCACTGGGTCCAGGATGCGAACCACGGTCAACTACGTGGGAGTCCAGTGACATAGCCATTACGCTAACTGCTGGTCCCTATGCAAGAATTCTTTATGGAAGAATCTGTTACTATACACTTAAAAATGCTTAAGATGTTACATTTTATGTTTTATGTATTTTACTACAATTAAAAGTAAAAATAAAATCCAAATTTATATTCGCCAAACATGGCAAATGAACACAACACATTTTAGGATCTGCAAATAAAATGCATAAAAACGAATGCATTTCTGAACTTAGGAGAAAAGGAGAGGCTCTTTTACAGAATTTGATAGAAGTGACCCTGAGGCTAATGATAATAACAATGGATATGCATATTGTGCTTGGCAGGATGTTTTTGTGATGTTGGTCAACTGGCTAAGAAAGGAGTTTTCCCAAGAGGAGGGAATGGCTCCTGGAAAGGGATTTATATCCAGAAGTCCAGAATGAGGAGATCAGTCTTGATGGCATGTAGGCATGGCAGGGAGGCAAAGTGGTGCAAAATGACTGACCACATTTCCTGTATTGCCTTTGCCCCTTTGTAAATTGACATTTAATTTTCTAACACACAGCAAAGCTCCACAGAGAAACAGATGCATTTTTTATGTATCGCTCACAAAGACTCGATGGAGCTACTGTGTTGTTCCCATTTTACAAGAGACGAGGCCCTGGCTCAGAAAGACTAGATCACTTGTGCTAGGTCATGTGGCTTGTAAGTGGAAGACCCAGAACTGAAGCAGCACCCCTGGCTCCAAAGTTAAGGCTCTTAGAGATACAGCCTCAGGCAGTGATCTTAACCTCTCCAAGCTTTGGTTTCATCAGCATCAGTGGAAACCTCTCCTGGCTCCAGTCTTCCCAGTCATCTTACTAGGAAATAGTAGGAGGTGGTGATGGAGAGACGCTTTACTGGAGGGCTCTGAATTTAAGCTAGTCAGCACGAGGAAACCACTACAGGTTCTGGTACTTCGTTTCTAAAAACTCTCTTCTTGGCCTCAGGTACAAATGAATTACGCTTTGCCTGGAATGCTTGTCTGGAAGAGGCTTTCACAAAAATCACATCAGATGGTTTTGTAAAAATGTCATAGGAATAAGAAAAAAGAACCCTTTTCACTAAAGAGGATGGTTTCAGACACTAGCCTTTCTGCACTTGTATCCCTCTCTCCCTCCACATCTCTATCTCCAGACTATGATTTGAAGCTGCCCTTCCACCCTGACACCTGTCCTCAGAGACAAAATCTGCCCAGCTGCAGTCATTCCTCCAGTATTCCCCCTGATTCCTGAGCAGTGCACTGAGACCTGACTACAGGGAGCCTTGGCCAGTGGGGAGCAGATGAGATAGCAGCCCCCTTTTCCCTCCTAAGTCACTATTTGGGACACATAGAAGAAGGTGTCCGAGTCCCACGGGTCAAACAGGGAGCCCTGTGGACTATTAGTGTCTCTGCAGGCCCTGTGATGGATCAGGACAGTCCTCCAAAGCAAAACTCTAATGAGGAGTAAGCTGTCACCTTGGAGGGTGGGGCAGATATACACTTCCCAACCTATCTCTTCAGATTAATTCCCAACAGAGACTGATGACACCTTATTACTCTTGGTGAAAGAGCCGTAAAAGTGACTACCCATTGTTTCACTTCACTAGCCTCTATGGAGCTCAAACCACATGCCCAGTGCTGAACTAGGCTCTAGAAGCTGTGATGAGTAAGTTCATGGACTGTGAAGTCAGATTGTTTAGATTCACAGTTAATTCTCCCACCAGAGCTATGTGGCCTTGCATAAAGTACTTAACTTGTCTATATTTTGGTGGCTTCTATGGTAAAATGGGATGGTCCAGATACCCACAATGGAGAGTTGTAGCAAAGCCATTAAAATGCTATCCATCAGGTATAAGCACTATCAGGTGTCAGCTGTTATCTTTATGACATCTAGGGGTTCTTGGATCAGAATGTAAGGCAGAGGTGGTAAGAAAGGGTCTAGGAGCCAATGGGCAGGTAGTCAGTTTGAGTCAAGTGGAAGCTTCATTAAGTCAAGGAAGAAGAGAGACAAACTCTGGACTGGCAAATGAAACAGTGAGTCATCAGTACAGCAGTGAGCTGGGGATGGGGGCCACAAGGTAGGAGAAGGCACACCTTGGCACAGGAGACCACACTGAGCAGGGCTGACTCTGGAACATGGGCTTGGAAGGTCCAAAATGGGTCACTCTATCATGTGTTAGCAGCCATGAAGCAGCAAGTTCTCTCAGGACTGAGGACCTGCTATAAGCCAGGCTCTGGCTCAGACACTTCACAACAAAATTTATGTAAACCCCCAAATATCTCCAGAGGACCTGAGTTCTATTGTTCCCAATCTGTCTCCCCAAGGGCATCATACTCAATTTCCTTGAAATGGTGAAGACCTTGGGACCAGCAGTTAGCGTAATGGCTATGTTGCTGAACTCCCATGTAGCTGACTATGGTTCAAGTCCCAGACCCAGTGGCTTAAACTCACGCCAGGTGCGTGTGCGTGCATGCCCAAGATCCCGAGAGGAGAATGGAGGAGAAGGGATTGCGGCATGGACATTCCCCTGGCGGGTGATTTCTCGCTTTCTGTTTCTCTGTCTCTCTCTGTCTTTCTGGCAAGCATATGTGCCCTATAGCAAAAATCTCTCCAAAAAAGAAAGAGAAGGAGAGAGAGGGAGAGGGAGAGGGAGAGGGAGAGGGGGAGAGAGAGAGAGAGAGAGAGAGAGAGAGAGAGAGAGAGAAAGAAAGAAAGGGAGGGAGAGAGGGAG